ATCAGGACTTCTTAATTAAGGAATACCCCTTGCTCAGCTTCATGAACTGGAATTATATGATCCAGCAACTAGCTCACAGTGTTTAATGATGGCTATGCCATTAGTGAGCTGTATAAACTTAGAAATGTCAGTGTAACTCCTTTGTGCCTCAATTTCCTGACCTGTAAAATTAGATACTCCAAGATACACTTGGGATAAAGTGAAACAGATATGAAAGCCCTCTCAAAGATTATTAATTTATAGATATGGTATTGATAAGAGGCTGTCAGAACCAAGTGGTAGTGGTCAGGAAAGAGGTTAATCTTTTTTTTGTTTGTTTTGGGTTTTTTGGTGAGGCAATTGGAGTGACTTGTCCAGAGTCACAGAACTAGTAAGTGTTATTTGTCTGAATCCAGATTTGAGCTCAGGTCCTCCTGACTCCAGGGGCAGTGCTTTGTCCACTGTGCCACCTACCTGCCCCTAAAAGAGGTTAATCTTTTTTTTTTAAGGCAGTTGAGGTTAAGTGACTTGCCCAGGGTCACATAGCTAGTAGGGAAAGAGATTAATCTTAGGGATCACCAAAAAAAAAAAGAGGGACATCCTTGGTGTAGAAAAGGTAGAAAATGATAGAGGATGTCGTAGGCAGGAAGAATGGCATTATGTGAGAACTCAGGTGGGTTGTAGATGGCTGGTGATGATGGTGGTGGTGGTGGTGATGATGGTGGTGGTGGTTGTCCTTCGTTCTCAAAGAGGACCAAAATGACATCACTATGTTAGAGTCGAGTTTCACCATGTCTGACTGTGGCTGATCAGACCAATATGAGCTCAGAATGTTCTACCACAGGTCAGGTACAAATAGTCTGTGAACATTTGGGGTGGATTTTCTAAATTTGCAAATTCTGGGTTTCCTTTGAGCTGTTTCAATTCTGCTTTGCTCATAGAGCACAGCCCCTTCTCTGATGTGGGCATGCTATGCTGAGCAGCCCTGTGCCAGTGTCTCCCATGTCACAATCAATTCCAAAGTTCTTTTTTTGTTTGTTTTTTGTTTTTGTTTTGTTTTGTTTTTCCTTTTCAGGCAATTGGGGTTAAGCAACTTGCCCAGGGTCACACAGCTAGTAATTGTCAAGTGTTTGGTCCGTATTTGAACTCAGGTCCTCCTGACTTCAGGGCCGGTACTCTATCCAATGAGCTGCCAACTGCCCCTCCAAAGTTCTTAAGAGAGACCTTGTGAATGTCTTTGTATTGCTTTTTCTGACCTCCATGTGAATGCTTGCCCTGTGTGAGTTCTCCATAAAACAATCTTTTTGGCAAGCATATGTTTTGCATTCGAACAACGTGGCCAGCCCATTGGAGTTGCACTCTCTGAAGTAGAGTTTGAATGCTTGGCAGTTTAGCTTGAGAAAGGACCTCAGCATCTGGTATCTTATCCTGCCAGGTGATCTTCAGAATCTTCCTAAGACATTCAAATGGAAGTGATTCAGTTTCCTGGCATGGCACTGGTATACTGTACAGGTTTCACAGGCATACAGCAATGAGGTCAGCACAGTGGCTCTGTAAATCATCAGTTTGGTAGTCAGTCTAATAGCTCTTCTCTCCCATACATTCCTTTGGAGCCTTCTAAACACTGAGCTAGCCTCTGGCACTCGTTATCAATGTGTACATCCCTGGAAAGTAAACTACCAAGATAAGTGAACTTATTCACAGCATTCAAAATTTCTCTATTTGTTGTAGCTGATGGTTCCACATATGGAAGGTGGTACTGGCTGGTGGAGCACCTGTGTTGTCTTGGTATTGTTAGGCCAAAATTAGCACAAGCAGCAGAGAATTGATCCATACTTTTTTGCATCTCAGCTTTAGAGGCTGCATTAACTGCACAATCATCTGCAAACAGAAGATCATGCACCAACACTCCCTCCACTTTGGTCTTGGCTCGTACCCTTTACAAGTTGAAGAATTTACCATCAGTGTGACAGCTGACCTTGATGCCACGTTTACCCTTACTGAAAGCATTTGACAGCATTGCTGAAAACATGCTAAAAAGCATGGGAGCAAGCACGCATTCACTCCATTACTTCACTCCATTGGTGACAAGGAAAGCACAAGAGCATTGTCCATTATCCAGAACCCGGGCAAGGATGCCATCATGAAATTGATGTACAATGCTGATGAACTTCTCCAGACAACCAAATTTTGACATAATTTTCCATAAGCCCTCATTACTGACAGTGTCAAAGCCTTGGTCAGATCTACAAATGTGTACAGACCTCCATTCTACTCTTGGCATTTCTCCTGGAGTTGTTGGGCAGCAAATGCTATATAGATCATTCCTGGCCTCTTTCTGAAGCCACACTAGCTCTCAGGTAGATGACCATCTTGCAGGCAAAAGATCAGCCTACTAAGAAAGACTCTGGCAAGAATTTTGCCAGCAGTGACTAAGAGAGAGAGAGAGAGAGAGAGAGAGAGAGACACACACACACACACACACACACACACACACACACACACACACACACACACACCCCCTCCTCCCCCCCCCCGACTGTCCCAGGACAATCTATTTCCTTTACCTTTATAAAGATGGACAATGGAGACATACTTGAACTCATGGGGGAATAACCTTCTCCTGCCATATAACCTGGACAATTTCAGTCAACTTCTGTATAAGCAGTGGACCCCTTACCTTGTAAATCTCAGCTGGAATAGAATCAGCACTAGGTGCTTTGCCACATGAAAGGAGCCTAATGACATTCAAAACCCATTCTTCATTTGGAACTTCAGCTAGGGAGGGATTGACTTCAACCTGAGATAAAGAAATGTTCAGCCCATCTGTCGAGGATCATATCCTTATCACTAATCAATGTTGCTCCATCAGCACTGAGTAGTTGAGATGCATTATAGGTCTTTGGTCAATAAATAGCATTCAGGGCATCATAAAAATGCTTTGGATTGTTACTATCAGCATAAAACTAAATTTCATCTGCTTTCTTACTGAGCCAAGAACACTGCATCTCTCTAAGCTTTGCTTGTACTTTACTTTTGATGGAATTAAATGCTGCTTTCTTAGAAATGGATGAACTATCCTGCTGGTAAACCCTATGGACTTCTAGTTTTTCATTTAGCAGCTTCTGAATTTCCCCATCATTTTCATCAAACCAGTCTTGGTGTTTGTGAGTGTTCTGACCCAGATGAGCTAATGCAGTGCTATACACCAAATCTCTGAGAGCTGCCCACTCCTTTTCTGCTCCACTGTTGCCAACTGTGTGTTGGCTCAACTTCCCTTCCAAATCAGCAACAAACTGTTCCCACTCAGAAAAGAGCTCTAATCTGTTGACATTAATTCTTCTGGTAGTTATTTTGCCTTGGGAACGCCACTTTTGTTGGATACAAATATTTAGCTTGGAGAAGATAAATCCTATGATCAGTCCAGCACTCTGCACCACACATTACAGACCATCCTGTCTCTTATTACACTGACATAGTCTATTAAATGCCAATGTTTACTGTAAGGGTGTATCCATAAAGTTTTGTTGCATTTAGGTAAACAGATGACAGTGTTGGTGATGAGGTCATGATATGCACAAGTCTTCAATAGTGAGTAATCACTGCTGTTGCTGTTTCCAACTCTGGACTCCTGCCAAATCTAGTAGTCTAAGCCCACTCTAGCATTAAAGTCACCCAGAATTATAAGCTTGTCGTCTTTTGGCACGTCGATGATAAGTGTCTCCAGGTTTTCATGAAATTTCTTCTTTGACCTCATCAGGGCTCATCATGGTGGGAGCATATGGCGACACGACGTTTTCCTACAAGCGGCAATCACATCATCATGAGTCTGTTGTTAACTCCTTTTGGTCGGCATACAAGCTTGTTGACTAGATTAGCTTTGATTACAAAACCTACACCAGCTTCACAGCGCTCCCCTTCACTGTGGGCACTCCAGAAAACATGTGTTAACTTCAATAAACTGGCCTTCATCTATCAGCCTTAATTTCACTCAGGGCTGCTATTTGGATGCAGTATCTGCTGAGTTCTTTTGCAATGAGAGCTGTTCATCATTCAGGTCTACTAGATTTTGTGTTGTCTTAAAAGTGCGCACGCATTCCATGTGCCAATGGTGAGTGGAATTGTCTTTGCAGACATTTTTGTACATTTTTTGTTTTGACCACAGAGTGAGATTCTCCACCTGCCCTGGTAATAGGGCCAGGGTTGGGTAAGCAGACAAATTTTAGATCACCTTTTCTAGTCCCTTCCTCACACCAGGAGGCGAGCAATGCAATCCTTAAAAGGCTGCTCAGACACCCAGGGGGCTGCTGAATCCCACTGCTGCTTCCAGTGAGAAAACAACTCTTGATTCAGCTGCCTTCATGGCCACTGAAACAAATTGTTCTTATCCACCCATTCCACCAGGGGAAGTCTTCACATGCTTGGGGTAGACACCCTCCTCGATTAACCTCAAGTAGGTTTAGCCCATCTGCCAAAAGGGTTTGCCGGGGTGTGGCCACTGCGCATGCTACAGCTTCTTGGAGCCACCGGTGAGAATTAGGTGGAACAAGTGGACACCAAATGTGGAAAGCAGCCCTGAAAAGGGCTCGGCAGCCATCACACTAGAGGTACTAGTCTTCCCTGAACACACCTTACACCCCTGTAGATGGCTAGGGTTAGCATAGAGGTGAGAAAGTTAAATTTGACAGTAATAGAGATATTCTGTGCTTAAAGTTTCTTTACCCAAATTCCAACTGAACAGTTACCACTCAGTGCTGCCTTCTGAGTCCTTGTGTGACATCTTATTACACTTGCCCATTACTCAGGCACCATCCTTTACAAAATATTTAATAAGAATTACAACGCAGCTAGGTGGTGCAGTGGATAGAGCACCGGCCCTGGATTCAGGAGGACCTGAGTTCATAACACTTACTAGCTGTGTGACCTTGGGCAAGTCACTTAACCCTACTGCCTAGCCAAAAAGAAAAAAAAAAGAATTACAAACATTAAACACAACTAGTTTGTAATAAAAGCAAAGGCTGTCAATTTTTTTCAGTAGTATTTATTGTTTGAACAATTCAAAGTATTTATTATTCAGTTAGAAATGAAGTACAGACAGGCATACACACATGTATGTCAAAACCTGAGTATCCTTAAAAAATCTCCAGAACATACCTGTTATTTACACCAAAACATATTCCATTATTCTTACAAAATAATTAAAATGGAATTGCAGACCAATTGCATAACCAAATTGAGTTGAAAATAATCTGTCTTCTACACACCTAAAAAGATGGTGGGAAAGTTGAGGGCAGAGTATTTAGAATGAAGGAGAAAGAGACTTCCTGAAATGGCAAGGCATTAAGGTACACATTGATGAATACAAGGCAGGAAACCCAGATAAAACCTAGAGTTTAAAAAAGGGCCCAGACACACTTCAACCTTTCAGAAACTACACATAGTATATATTTGCATTCTAAAACAGACACACACATACACATATATACTCTCTCTCCTCTCTCTGAACTGTTTGGAGGTGACACAATCACCTGAAGAGGATACATCACTTCATTCACCAATTAAAAAGTAGTAATGAAAGTGATAAGCTTAATACTGCACATCTTGCAAATGATGTATAATTTGAGTGTTCAAATAAAAGATAAATATACCTGTATACAAATATATTATATACACAAGTTTCTATAAATATATTCCGACACACTGAAGAAACCCATTCCTTCCTACCCACAGGATTAACCTGTCAAAAAAAAAATCACTAAAACTAAAAAAAAAAAAGATTTTCCTAAAGTATTTAATGTACCCATGGCAAATGTGTCAACTAAAATTATATCCAGCAGAGGGAAAATAATACAGTTGACTAATCACCATCCTTCATAGACTGTATCAGTAACTGAGTATGTTGGGTTCACAATTTGGCCTTATCTCTAAATTTCCAACACTGGAGAAACAAATTCAGATTACTTTTTGTCAGCTGTACAAGGTCCTTTCATACAAATCAACTCAACAATGTTGTAAATCTTCTAATGACTGCCTTAGTGTGAGTGAACTGAGTAGTAGTTCTGCCCAACCCAAGGCAGGTATGTAGAAATGTTCTGAGGGTCCTTTTTTGTCTTACATAATCATGGTGGCTTCAACAAACTTAACACATTTATATTGGGCTCATTCATTTAGAAATTTCTCTGGAATGATTAACTACCTCTATAAAGAGCAAGCTGTTAAGAAAAAGATGCTTTAAGTTAATTTGGAACAAGGAAGAAATTGAAACCACACCTTTAAGGAAACTGAGTAGTTAAATTAATTCAAACCTATTATGTGAAGGGCTAGGTTGGCTATAAGCCTATATGTTTTTAAATAATAATTATAGAAATGGATTTTCCAAATATGGAAGAAGCCTTATAGTTGTAGCAAAAGAAGAAAAAGTTCAGCATACCTGAAAACAAAATTCAAGTTTCCAACATAAATTATTTTAAAAAACTAGTCAGCAAAAGCTCTAATTGAATTCTAGCAGCTTGTCCGAAGGTCCAGTGCGAGCAGTTTTATTTTGGATTCTTGAAATGCTAAAATTTGGGAGATTTCACTCTCTACTTGGCTGAGAAGGTGAATCAGGGGAGGATGTGACAGCCAGTAGTCGCTTACTTAACAGAGCATTGTGTCGTTTCAGGTATTCTATTATATCTCCTTGCTTTTCAACTACTTCTTCTAGACTGGAACTAGTCCTGTAAATAAATGAGGCATAAGGTTATAAAACACACAAAAAGAAAGCCCACCTGATACAAGGTGCTTCCTGGCAGCCTCTTAGCAGTTTCTATTAGGCAGAATACTTTTATCACTCCTGGAATGAATTTTTCTTAATCTACTAAGCTGTATATGGTTAAGAACTGAATTTCTCTAAGTGATAATTTCCAGAAGTACACAGGCTTGTTAACAAGCCCACTTTGGAAGCTCTCAACCATATACTCTTCCCTTTAATGGGCGTTCGTTCATTGTATCGACTTGGAAATTGAAAAAAAAAACCAAACCTGTAATCCTTTGAAATAAGGTTTGCTATTGCTTCACTTCAGTGGCACTGTCAGAATTTGCCAAAGATAATAGAACTGTCCTAACTAATCTAAATAAAGGATACCTGGAGTTAATTATGAGCAAAAATAACAAAAAGCTACCTTCAACTGTAAGAAAGATAGTCTAAAAGAACAAAAGAACATTCTGATCTTATTTAGCAATTAAACCAGCATGATATTTTAGGAACTAGTTGCAGTATCCCCTGGGTCAAATGGTATGCATCATTCAGTAACTTTTGGGCACATTTACAAAGTGCTTTCCAGAATGGCTGAATCAACTCACAACTCCACCAACAGTAATTTTTCCTATCCCTGTTATATTCCCTTTTTGGATGTGTGAGGGGAAACCACAGAGCTGCTTTAATTTGCACTTTTCTAATTCTTACTGATTTGTAGCATTTTTTTATAGCTTTTTTGATTGCTTCCTTAGAAACCTACCTTTTCCTATCCTCTGACTACTTAGCAATTGGAGAGTGCCATCTGAGCCAATTTCTAATGAAAACCTAGCCTCTATACCCAAAAGATCAAAGAAATTGGAAAAGGGCACACATATATAAAATATTTTATAGTAGTTCTTTCTGTAGTGGCAAAGAAATGGAAACTAAGGGGGTTCCCACCACCTGAGGAATGGCTGAACAAATCTTTGTATACAAATGTAACAGAATTTTATTATGCCATAAGAAATGATGGAAGGGAGTCAATTTCAGGGAAACCTAGAAGACTGATATGAACTGATACAGAATGAAGTGAGGAGAACCTGGAGAACAATTCACACAAAATACAACACTATAATGAAAAATAGCTTCATAAGACTTTTTGTTGTTGTTTAGTCATTTTTCAGTCGTGTCCGACTCTTCATGACCCCATTTGAGGTTTTCTTGGCAGATTTCGGGTTTGCCATTTCCTTCTCCAGCTCTTTTTACAGATGAGGAAAGTGAGGCAAACAGGGTTATGTGACTTGCCCAGAGTCACATAGCTAGTAAATGTTAGAAGTCAAATATGAACTCTGGTCTTCTGAATCCAGGTATGGTGCTCTATCTACTGCACCATCTAGCTGTACTTTTTTTTTTTAAATAAAGGTTGCCTTTTTTTATAGTTACAAAGCAAGAGTATAAATAATCTTGATTATTTTTCCTTTTTACAGTATTCACACTGGAAGTGAATGGAGAATTCTGAAAATCAGTGTATTTTTGAAAAATGTTGCTTCAGTGATTATTTAAAATTTATAGGTTTAAAAATCAGGGGTTCTTGGAGAGATGCCAAAAGGCTGTTAATACTGGCTCAAGATACAGAACAAACTTCCTAAGTTCCGGGTATCAAAAGGGTGCTAAAAAAGACTGAAGAGCTGATTTCTATCCATAAGAATGACCACATCCATGCCAAACTTGTGATACAACTGAGAATAAATCATAGATCTATAATAGTTTGTCTATGGCTTAGCTCTAACCACATCTCAACACTCTAAACCACAATGCATACACACAAAATCTCCCAAAACCATCACTAATACAATCATTGAATGTGCCAAATATCATGGTACATAAACATTGGACTAAAAATATTCAATGGATAACTAAATATACAGGAACATGTCAAATATTACACAGAATTTCTTTTTCTATAGAATTTATTATATAGCCATATCAGTAAAATGGCACAAGCATGGACCATCTCCTGAAATATGGAACTAGCCTTTGTATGTTGATTTAAGTTTCTGCCTCTATTCTCAACTGACAAACCACATAATCCAAAGAGATTCATCATCTAGGAATTACCTTTGAGAAAAGTACAATGATAGATAGAATTTGGTAAAGGCTACTTTATGTGAAGGGAATTGTTTTGTGTTTGAACTGGGTAGTAGAGAAAGGAATTCAAAAGTAAGAACTTCAATAACAAGTTTGCACATTTGCAAACTCCCCTACCCATCTTATGGCTTGGCTTTATCTAAATTTTTTTAATACATGACTCCCTGAAATCAAATGCAATCAAGTCTGTCAAATGCTTTGTCAAAGCATCATCCCAAAGGCATGTCTGCAAGTACACACAGAACTGAGGTCAAAGAGTTTTTCTGGCTCCCAATCCATCAAAGAGCTAACTCACTGGTGCAGCTCCATACTTAAATCCATTCCAAGGAGCACCACCAACAAGACACTCTTTGCCTGCTAAAGGGTCATCAGGGATGTGTACTCTTTCTGTACTCTTGTTCTCATAACTAAAGATTTCTTCTCTCCTCTGCTAACATCTACTGTCTTCATGCTTTCTCCCTTTTTCATGGTATCAAAAAAAAAAACCACTCAGGAAAAAAAGCTGAGGAAATCCTCATTTTCACTAAGTTTTTGCTTTTGTTGTTTTGGTCCAGGGTTTCAATTTCTTTAGTGTAGAAGAACCTGGGGTGGAAACTCCCCATGTCGATATAGGTACAAAATAAGGACCTGGAAAGGGATTAAGAGTCCTAGGGTGTTGGCTGGGGTACTGAAAGATTAAACAGCTGGCCCATGATCACAACTCTACTATGGGTCAGAGACAGAAACTGAACTGAACTTGTGACCTTGCCTCTGTCACCTGCCTTGTCCACTAAGTCACTTACTTCATTTGCAAAATGAAGAGGTTGGATTAGATCAGTGGTATCAAACTCAAATAGAACAAGGACCATTATGATACATACATGAAGATCCCTGCAGGCCACATAATGACTTAGAAAACCACATATTAACATAATCTATGTTCTACTGTATTTTTATTTTGTTAAATATTTCCAAATTCCATGTTAATCTGGTTCTGGCAGTGGGCAATGCAAGAAATGTTACATACCCCTGGATCAAAAAACCTTCCAGTTCTAAATCTATGATTGTTGGAAAAGTAAATTCTTCATCCACAAAATGAGGGTGTTAGACCAGATCTCAAAAATACAGCTATATAAACATTCATAAATACTAAGAATTCAAGTTTTTTTCTTGGCTTTTAAGAAGAGTTCTAATTCTCAAAGAAAATACCTCTTCCTCTCCTGAACACTCACTCCATTCTCCTACTGTTTTCCCCTTCATTATTACCTGAATCCAGTCTCTGAAGTACTATTATTGGCATATGCATACATGTTCTCTTCTTCAATTACATCAGGTCTTGGCTTGGCTTTATTAAATCTTCTTATTTTCACTAAAATGACAAAGCAATAATGGTTATTCTTGTCTAGATAAGAAAGTGCACTATTTAAAGATAAATTTTTATCATGATTTTTGTTTTTGCATCACCTCCATATTCTTCCTCCTCCTCCCCCCCACCCTTCTTATAACTAGAGATTTGCATTTAAAAAAAATTTAAAAATACAGAACACATGATCTTTTGACTAAAAAAAAAAATCATTTGAATGCTTCTTACAGACAAGTAACAGTGCTAGGTACTATGAGTGATACAAAAATAGGGCCCCTGCCCTGAAGAAACTGACAGTCTAATAGGGGAGATGAGTTTTATATATACACCAGTATGTTAATTTATACAAGGAAAAATGCTGCAAAAGAAGAAATTAACCACAAAGGATATATGAAGAAAGACACTATCTGCATCCAGAAAAAAAAAACTGATAGATAAATAGAACTATGTATAGAATGGTTTTACATATATATAAATATTTGTGTCTAATGTAACCATCTCTAAGGTAGGGGTGGGTGGTGTTAGGGGGAGGAGGGAAGAAAAAAAGGGAAAAAAAAGAAAGTTACATGATAACTTTATTATATATTTAAAAGGAACAGCAAGTTGTACATAATAGATTTGTAGTTTCATGTGCAATCATCTTTCTATTCTATTACATTATGAAAGTCCTTGTTTTATTTCTTAAGTTCAGGATAAAATAAAGAAAATTCTAAAAAATCAAAGCAAAATATAGGAGGAAGGTCATTAGCCAAGATCAAAAGAGCTGGGAAAAGGGTTAAGGGCAGCTAGGTGACACAGTAGATAATGTGACACCTACAATCACTTAGAAATGAATTCGAATTCGGCCTCAGACTCTTACTAGCTATGTTGTCCTGGGTAAATCACTTAACCTCTGTTTGCCTGAATTTCCTCATATGTAAAATGGGGTTAATAACAGCACCTACCTCCCAAGGTTGTCTCAAGGATCAAATGAGATATTTTTAAAGCATGTTCCAAACTATAAAACACTATACAGATGTTAACTATTATGATGAGGAGGAATATGGAAATGGTTTAGAACAAAACATATCATATACAAAAGTCAGGGAAGAGGGCAACATTACTTTCAGGCCTGGCAAAATGGGTAAAATCAGGGAAGGGAAAGCCTCAGTGAGAACTCTGAAGCAAAGGATTTAAATGGGCAGAAGCAAAGAAGGAGGGCATTTCCAGGTAGGCAACATGAGCAAAAGCAGAGGTGGGAAATCACAGGGACTGCCGAGGTCACTGAGGAAGCTAAGGTAGCTGAAAAAGAGGTTCTTTTAGGGGCATAGCAAGACATTAGGTTGGGGGAAGCAGGTCTGGTGGTGAATGCCAGTAATTCCAGCTACCAGGGAGGCTGAGGCTGACAGGTCTCTTGAGGTCCTGAGTTCTGATATGTAGTGGGCTATGAGAACTGGGAGAAGGACCAGGTTGTCTAAAAAGGGGCAAATGAATTGTAAACAGAGCAAGTCAAGGCTTGTGTGCCATTTAGCATTGGGTTTTGGCCTTGTGAGTAGTTCCCACCCTCTAGCTTGAGCAAGATAAGGAGACCCAGCTTTTAAGAAAAAAAGAAAATTAAACTGGGGTCAGAATGGAGGCAATGTAGTACAGTGGAAAGATCCCTGGTTCTTAGTGTGAGAAGACTTGGGTTTAGATCCTACCTGATACTTGCTATTGTGTGACCCCAATGGGAAAGTCACATAACTTTCCTAGGTCTCAGTGTCCTTCAGAGAAAAATGAGGACGCTAGATTAGATAGCCTCTGGGGTCTCTTCCAATGCAGGCAGAAAAGTTTTGAATGTTACACTAAAGAGTTTGGACTTTTTAGAGCAGGCGATGATGGTATGCCAATTTGCCATTATTCTGTAAGCAATGACTATTCTTAAATCTCCTCTCCAGAGCTGTAAGTACTAACATGCTGCCTTTTTGCCAGGCAGTTATAATACCCTCCTCAAAATGGAGGCTGCTTGCCTTTGTCTGTTGTGGGACTCTGAATCAATGCAGAGCTCTCCCTTCTAGTAAGCAGTTCTCTATTTTGGTTTATTTCTCAAGGAAAAGCCATGCTTTCTTCTTCTGAACATTTTAAAACCACCAAATAAAAACAGAACTTAAAAAAATAAATTATACAGGACTCTCTGCCCTGTCCCTCCAATCATGATACATCACACAGAGGAAGTGCTGAAACCACTATACATTTAACAAGATGATGTCACGATTTATGTTTTCAAAGTATGAAAATTAAGTCATGGGGAAAAAAGTGTGGTGTTAGGAAGCAAAAGCCATATGAGATAGCATATGGCTAGAAGTCTAAAAGCCTGGGTGTTCTGGTCTCAGCCCTAGCATCGAGTGACTGAGCAGATTTTCAACTTTATTTTCCTCATCTGTAAAATGGGGATAATCATATTTGTACTACATCCAATCAGGCAGAAACAGAAGTTGATAGTTTCTTCTGGTGCTACACTTCTAAGATATTTTTATTTTAGTCACTTGATAGTATTATTCCCTAAAAAGTATTATTCATTAGTAGCATAAAGCTTCAACCCTCTAAAAATAGCCTATATTACTTTTGTACTTCGGAGAAAACAAACCAACAGACTCTCATAATTTTTTTTTTAGGCAATTGGGGTTAAGTGACTTGCCCGGGGTCACACAGTTAGTAAATGTCAAGGGTTTGGTCTGAGTCCAGATTTGAACTCAGGTCCTCCTGACTTCAGGGCCAGTGCTCTATCCACTGCCGTACCTAGCTGCCCCTGTCATACTTTTAAATACATGTGACTATTAGAACTTAATATGCAGATCAACTGTAAATATCCTTCATCACAGGCTTTCCCAAACTAAATTACTGATTTACTGAGAATTATTCAACTAAATATTAAGTGGATTGAGGTCAAGCCTCAGTCAAGATATCCTGAGTTCAGAACTGACTCTGACACGTCTGTCCCTGAGCAAGTCAATCTCTCAGGGCCCCAGGCAGTTCTGTAAAAGTCACAGAAGTGATTACAAGGTTGCTGAAGGCCATAGTAATTTAAACCAAAAGTACTTGAATAAAAGTTGTACCTTTTGGATACTTTATTTACACCTCTCCCACCTTCCCTCCTCCTGTCCAACACTTAAATGGACTGAAAATGTTGAAGGATAAGGCCTAACATTTTTTCAAGTTATAGATCTCTCTGGCAATCTAGTGAAACCTATGGATCCCTTTTCAGAATAATGTTTTTATACCACAGCCTGTTCATAAATTAAAAACAGAACAAATAAATGTGGGAAAAAATGAATAATGTTTAAAAAATAATTGAAGGGAAGGCTAACTCAGTTAGAGGTTAGTGAAAATAAAGATGTACAATTTTTTTTCCCCATCCAAGTTCATGGGTTCCCCTCCCCACCCCCAAAACCTACCCACAGACCCCATGTACCACAGAGTAAAAACCAAGAAAGCTCAGAAATGATGGTAACAGGTATTTGTCCTGAAGAAATAAAGGGGAAAAAAAGCAAAACTACTGCATTTCTTGTCAACAGAGACTGACAAAAAACAAAGAGAAGGGTACAGATATCTACAGCTTTCACACCTGACAACCAACAAGTGTATTTGAGAGTTTGTATACTCCATGCCTGCAATGAGCTTTAGATAGCCAAAGACAAGATGGTCAATAGGCCTCAACTTCCCCAGGAAGGGGATACCTGCCAGAAAGCCAGTGTTTTGTTTTTTTTTTAGAGGATTGCCAAATAAATTATGGTATATTTGTTCTTTTTTAAAAAATTAATTTATTTAGTTTTAGTTTTCAACATTAATTTCCACAAGATTTTGAGTTCCAAATTTTCTCCCCATCTCATCCTTCCCCCCACCCCAAAATGGCAAGCATTCTGAATACCCCTAATCTGCCCTCACTTCTATCTCCCCTTATCCCCTTCCCCTTCAATTTTCCCGTAGGGCAGGATAGATTTCTATACTCCATTTCCTGTATATCTTATTTCCCAGTTGCATGTGAAATCAAATTTTTTTTTTAACTTTTGTTTTTAAAATTTTGGGTTCCAAATTTTCTCCCTCCCTCCCTCCCTACTCCCCCTCATTGAGAAGGCAAGTAACTCGATACAGGTTATACACGTGTAGTCATGCAAAACACTTCCACAGTAGTCATGTTGTGAAAAACTAAGTATATTTCCCTTCATCCTATCCCACCCCCTATTTATTCTATTCTCTCTTTTGACCTTGTCCCTCTTTAGAAGTGTTTGCTTCTGATTACCCCCTCCCCCAATCTGCCCTCCCCTCTATTATTCTCTTGCTCTCTTGTCCCCTTCCCCCTCCTATTTTCTGTAAGGTAAGATAGATTTCCATACCCAATTGAGTGTGTGTTATTCTCTCCTTAAGCCAAATCCTATGGGAATAAGATTGATTCATTCCCTTTCACCTTCCCATTTCCCCTCCACTGAAAAAGCTTTTTCCTGTCTGTTTTATGTGAGATAATCTACCTCTCCCTTTGTCCTTCTCCCAGTATAATCCTCTCTCACCCCTTAATTTTATTCTCCAGATATCACCTCTTCATAGAAGGCCAGTTTTCACTCCTCGTTATGATAAACATCCCTTTCTGTCATATGTAACTGGAATAAATGAACATGTTACAGCCAACAGAATCCCTGAAGAAATGAAAAGGTAGAACTGAATATGTTCAGCTTTTGCAGTAAAATTTGACCAACTGAGCAAGTGGTCAGTTGGTCCAAACCTAAACCTGATGGATTTGTAAGGTCCTGTACAAAGCCCTCCTGCTCTGAATAGGTGTAAAGTTTCACAATTAAAGAAAGGAACACTCTCATTTAGTCAGTAAGCTGGAGAGGATGCATTTCAGCTTCAAAGACAATATGACTTTCCAATGGCTGTTAGCCCAGCTTAAATTAAGAGGCCAGATGAAAAAGGAACATACCATACTCCCAAATACAGGGTGCAAGAGTAACCAGCTAAGAACTAAAAGCAGGTCCTCAATTTGCTAATTCTGGAAGGCTTATTAAAGTTGTTTCAACAAAGCTGAAAGTCATTCTTAGTAGACAAACAACAGGGCACATGTGTTTTCTAATACTGATTTCTAAATTAGACTCCCAGGTTAAAAACTTAAGAAAAAAAGCAAAATGACAACCAGGTAAAAGGACGTTTATCACAGGGGCGTCTCCTGTAAAAGTGCTACTTTTAGGACAGCAACATTTTAATATATTATAAAATCCTTTTATAAGCAGCAATGATCTGATTAATGTCACAGGTTAAAACAAAAGACTCTTTTAGGTAATCAAGGTTACCCTGTGTAAATGACCAACTTTGACTACAAGAGTTGTTAATCTGGGGTTAAGATTTCAGAGGGTCCATGAACTTGGATGAGGAAAAAAAGATGACATCTTTATATTTGCTCACTTCTAATTGAAATTTCCTTTCATCATTTAAAAACATTATTCTGAGAAGGGTCCCATGGGCTTTCCCAAACTGGAATTATACAAAAAAAGGTTAAGACACATCTGCACTAGAGTTTCCAACACCAAATCATATAGATTCAGAGTTTTGTAATTCAAAGACATCATGTAATTACAACGATACTGGTGTCAAATTAGACCACCCAGAATGTGTTTTCCACTATTCTTTTAGATCATTAGCCAAAAGAGGAGTGTATTCAAAAACATTAACTCTCTGAAGAACTGGGTGGCCTTATGTGCCATGCAAATCTTCTTCCATTTCATTAGGGAGCTATGATGACTACAAAGCTGGATGCTGAACCTGGGTAGATTTAATTTTAAGAAAACACAAGGCACTGATCAAATTTAGCATAATGGAACTTCTTACAGTTTAAACAATCTCATTCGTGCTAGTGATCCTGACAGTGATTTCCCTGGGTGCCATAGCAAAGGCACTGAAATTTGGACAGAACCTCCTCTGTCCCCACCACCACCACCAAGAGTTAAACTCGGCAGACCCAACTGCAGTTAAAATGTGACCAATCCAAAACTATTTTCCTAATTAAGAAGTGATAAACCAAAAAAGCAGAGTTACTGACTTCACCAATGAAGAAGGCTGCTCTGAAAGCTGATATAAAATTAAAATGTTAAGCCTGGGTTTAAATCTTTCCCCCTGCTTCATAGTGTAACTGTGGACACTCACCTCTAGGGCCATGAAAAGTGCCAGAGAGCCAGTTATATACCCAACTAAATGACTCTGCATTCAAGCTCAGACCATAATTTTCAATCATTTCAGGTAACTTGTCAGATATGGAATAGAACTGACCCAGGCAGCAAGTGAATTAAATATTTACTCCAGAGACCAGGATCATTTTACTAAAGTAAACTTGGTAATCTCAATGACGGATTAATTTGTTGTAATAATAACTAACATTTATATAACACTCACTGTGTCCCAGGCGCTATGCTAAGCAGAATTATTATCTCATAAAATCCTTACAACAACCCTGGGAAGTGCTATTATTATCCCTATTTTACAGATGAGGAAACTGAGACAGAGAGGTTAAGTGACTTGCTGAGGGTCCTATAGCTATTATGTAATTGAGGCAAGATATGAAATGGTCTTCCTAACTCCAGTCCCAGCAGCTCTACCCACTGCTTCACCTTGATACCCACTCCTCCTCCCCCAACTCTGCCCCACCACTAGTCAGTTTTCCCCTCCTTCCTTTCCTTTTTTCCAAGACCCAATAAGATACAAATTTAGCATTATGCACGTATTTTTGGTTTTTGCTGCATGGTTAACATGGTGCCTTTTTATGAGTATAAATTAAAGATTATCATCTATTAGTTCCATTAGCATTGGGCCAGCCCAACTGGATAATATTCCACAAAAGGAATATAAACCATTAAGATTGCTTCTTAGCAGATAGGGGCAATGTAGCATAATGGAAAGAATGCTGGACTTGGGGTCAGGAAAACCTAGATCTAAATCCTGTCTCTCCATGGACAAATCACTGAAATTCTCTGAACCTCAGCTTCCTCATCTGTAAAATGGGAATGATGATATCTGTGGAACCTAACAGAGTTGTGAAATTCAGAAGAGAATGCATGGAAATAAAATACTCTTAGAAATTAAAAGTGCTCTATTATTATTCAATCAAATAATAGGCCTCAAGAGCAGTACACTGGATTATAAACTGACTCTAACAGAGATACCATACTGATTGCTAGATTACCACAAACCACAGCAAGAAACCTTTTCTCCTTTAATTGGAAGTGATCTCTCTTTGGATCTCATATAGAATTTTGTCCTTTGTTTTCCCTTGACTTATTTGGCATTCAGGTCACTTGTCTGTGACATATCCCCGCCCTGACCAGATTATAAACTCTATGAGGACAGAGAATATTCTTCCTCCTCTGTCTACTCCCCAGTGTTCAGCAGGGGGATCACCATAAGAGTAGGTACTAAGAAAATGTCTGCTGACTTGCTGAATGTCTCTCTCACTCATATCTCACCTTTCACAAATTAGATCAATTTACAATTTGTCTAAATTTGTGATTTACACAACAGGCATGATGCTGCAGTGTTATGTAAAGATAATTTTTTTCCAAATAAAAATTCTAATTGTGCAGATGAATTTGTAATTTACAAGACTGCAGTCAGTTATTTTATAAAAGGAAAGAATTACAAAAATAATTGCTATTCTTACCCATGTAAGTCAGTGCCCAATTAATTAATTTTAAACTCAAAACTTAAGTTCTTCATAGCATATTTTAAAAATCTGTTAACCTTCAGAGCATGTGTGATATTTTTATTTACATCACTATCATCTACATCATAAAGGATTTGTTAGGGGAAGCTAGGGGGCATAACAGATAACAGTGTCAGATCTGGAGTCAGGAAGACTTGACAGGTCAAATCTTGACTCAGTCACTTAGTAGTTGCATGAACTTGGGCAAGTCATTTAAAAACTGTGTCTCAGTTTCCTTATCTGTAAAACAGAGATAAAAATAATGCCTACACGCAATGAAATGAGCTAACATATCTAAAAATGCTTTGCAAACCCTAAGGTATTATATAAATGCTTGTTATTAATATAATAAAATACTTAAAGAGAATACTATTAGTTAAGAATAAATTTAAAAGAATTTAACACAGTCACCCTCATCTATTTTTTTTTAAATTTTTTTTAGGCAATTGGGGTTAAGTGACTTGCCCAGGGTCACACAGCTAGTAAATGTCAAGTGTTTGGTCTGAGGCCAGATTTGAACTCAGGTCCTCCTGAATCCAGGGACAGTGCTCTATCCACTGCCCCACCTAGCTGCCCCAGAAATGGACTTTTAAAATACTTTTTAAAAAATGTACTGCTATAATATCTTTCATACAAACATACAAAACTTCCTTTAATCACAGTTTTAAGACCGATTCAAAGAAGAGACAAAACCCAAAATTTAATTAATAGCAACATACTAAATATCTCACCCAATAGTAAATCAGTATTAAACACATATTTGTATGTGAAACTACTTTACTTTATCATTTTTTGTTTAAACATTTGGTGAAGATATTATCCAATTTCATGAGAAGCTTCTTCAAGTCAACAGAAGCCTACATTTACAATTAGTTCAGAATCATGGCTGCTGGTCATGGTAACACTTTCCTGCTAAGTTCAAAATGAAAGCACCAAAGAGGCGGGCACTAAGAGCCAATTCAAAGTCACAACTGAAGAGAAATAATTACCTGTATGTTGTATTTTTGTTGTTGTTGTACATTATACTTTTTTCAGAATATGAATTACATTATTACTTATAACAATGAGTATGAATGGTCTGAATTTCCCCCTAAATAAAAAAGTTACAGGAGGGATCAAGAAACAAAACAAAAATTATTACAATGTTTATAGTTACATATTTAATTCAATGAGTTATGGATAAATTATATATATTTTTTCTTTAGTATGAATTTTCAGATATTCAGTAAGATTTCATTTTTCTGAATTCCCTCCAATATGAATTTTCATACTGGAATTCATATTCAAAGATTCAGTGTTATTTGAACAGTACCACACGTTTCATCTATAGGGCTTCTTTCTAATATGAATCTTCTGCTGTTGAAGAAAGTCTAAGTTATGAGAGAATGCTTTCTGATATTCTTTATATTTTAAAACCTTCTTTCTAGTATGAATTCTCTGATGTATAATAACGTTTGAGATCTGATTGTAATGGAATTATGGAACCATAATGGAAAAGTAATGGGCTTTATAGCCTGAACTGGGGAAATACAATACTTAAAAGGCCACGTAAGAAGGGTAGACCTGGTAGATGGACAAAATGGGTAATTCTCACCTGTGTAAATGACTAGACATATCAGGGAACAAATCAGTTCCAAGGCCAGGACTGCCAGGATGAAGTCAAGATAGAGAGGACCGTGATCAGGGAAGGAGTGCTGTATACACAGGATGAGGAGCAGGGCTGCATTGCCTGACGAAAGGAACACAAACTTAGCCTTAGCCAAAGCATTGCACCTGCTGTCAAAAGAGGAAGCAATAGCCTAGTCAAAATGGTAGCATATAACAAAGCTGAAGATAAAAACCAAAGTGAGTGGTACCAACCATTTGGGGCAAAGAGCAGAACAAGTTTCTTAACACTGTATGAAAGCCTCAGGGACATTCCCGCATTATAGTTACAAGTTATAGCCAAAAGCAGAATTGTGTAAGTGCAATTGCTTAGGCCATCTGATCAAAGCCACTGATATTCTGAGAAAAGCTAAAACAGGAGAGAGGCAGGGTGGTATGTGGGAGGAGTGATGGACCTGGGGTCAGGAGCAACCTAGTTAAAATCCCATATTGGGATCTCTGTTGTGTGACCATAGGCAAGTCATCTTAAACTCTTTGGACCTTTAAAGTGAAGATAACAAATTACCTCGCAGTACAGCAGTGAGGAACAAATAACGGATAGAACGTGCTTTACAGCTACATAAAGGTCAGCTATTATCACGTGAAGCTTAAAGATATTAAAGATAATAAAACTCATAGTACTTTGTACAATGTATCATAATGGAAGTAAATCCAATTTGTATAAATCTAAACATAAAAAATAAGTTGGAGAATGATTCTATCTTTTTTCAAATAGAAAATGGATTAATTTTAATTTTCCTTCTGATTTGTATCAGAATAAAACTATTCATGAGAGGCAAATGATAAAGAAAAGTATTTATGCCAGAGTTGTAATGATCTTGAGAGATAATTATCAAGTATACTTGTTTAACATATATATATGTACACACACACACACACACACACATATATATATATATCTTCAGTGCAGTAACCAGAAACATTTCCCTTTGTACTTCAAATGTTCAAATAAATCTTTCTAGAACCCTTCAAAATGTAATATCTGACAAATTATAGACAGCATTACAAAATGTAAAATAGATAATTTTGATTATATAAAATTTCATTATATAAAATTATATAAAAAGTTTTTGCACAAACAAAACCGATGCAACCAAAATTACAAGGAATGCAGAAAACTGGGGAAAAAATTTGTAACAAGTAACTCTAACAAGGCCTAATTTCTCAAATATATAGAGAACTTAGTCAAATTTATTAAAATACAAGTCATTCCCCAATTGATACATAGTCAAAGGATTGGAACATGCAGTTTTCAGATGAAGAACTCAAAGCTATCTGTAGTCATATGAAAAATGCTCTAAATCACTACTGATTAGAGAAATGTAAATTAAAACAACTCTGAGGTACCACCTCACACTTAACAGAGTGGCTGATATGACAAAAAAGGAAAATGTTGAATGTTGAAGGTATGTGGGAAAAACTGGGATACTAATATACTGTTAGTGGAGTTGTAAACTGATTCAGCCATTCAGGAGGGCAATCTGGAACTATGCTCATAGGGCTATAAAACTGTACATACCCTCTGATCCAGCAATATCATTGCTAGGTCTATATCCCAAAGACATGCAAAAAAGGGGAAAAAAGGATCTATTTGTACAAAAATATTTATAGCAGTTCTTTTTGTTGTGGCTAAGAACTGGAAATCAAAGGGATGCCCCCATCAATTGGGGAATGGCTAAACAAATTGGTATGATTGTAGCAGAATAGTATTGTGCTATAAGAAATGACAAGCAGGATAATTTCAGAAAAAAACTGGACAGACCTGTATGAACTGATGCATAGTGAAGTGAACAGAACCAAGAGAACATTATACACAGTAGCAACAATATTGTTTGATGAAGAACTGTGAATGACTTAACTATTCTCAGCAATACAATGATCCAAGACAATCACAATGGACTAATGATGAAGCATATTGCCTTTCTCTGAAGGCAGATAATATGCTTCATCTTTAGTACTTTGTGATTATCTTGGATCATGATTCTTTGTTTTAAAAAAACTTTCAAAGTAGGATTCCCATAAACAGCAATATCCCTTTATACATTTAAAATAATCCCAAAAAAATCACATTAATATACGGTTGTGTTTTTTTTAGCAGTACCCATCTCATAAAGATAGATACGCTTGCACAAGACAGAAATATCCAGGATAGCAGTGGCTTAGGTAGCTCATGTAGGTGAATGCCATTTCCCCCTTAATCATCCTTCCATGGTGATACTCTCCCAGTAAGTCTATGACATATTTCTCAGTGTTGTTTTTAAAACTACTTTTCACATCGCTAATTTGATGAATTGGCAAACAATGAAAACATACAAAGAGGAAATGATTTCCAAGTTCCTTCTTTTCCTAGTGTTTTTCTAGATCTGGAAAATGTTCACTTAGTCCAAAGAAGAGAAGGGATCTCCTACTTGTTGGTGCAAGCAGAATGCCTATGAACCAGTAGGCCAAGTTTAAATTACATATAAAAGTCACTTTGCACTTTAGCTCTGTTCTAACATGTCCTATTCTACTGAAAATCATATTAACATGTAATCATGCTGCTAGTGAATCAGCTTTGGGGAGACCTAATTGGTACTTGGTCTCAAAACAATTACACTTTTAAAAATTGGGGGAGGAAAGCTTTAAAAAATGAGAGAAACTGTTCTGCATAGATAACATGACTGTACCATTACAGATGCTAGACTACATATAATTTTCAAAGGAATTTTAATTTTTTACGATGTTCTATAACAGAAGCCCTTTTTATGGTAACAAAGATGGAGGTTATCAACTGGGGAAATACTAAGCAATTATGGCACATGAATGTAATAGAATATTGGAGAATGGAAGAAACAATGAATTAGACGGATTTAGAGAAGCATGGAAGACTTCTGTGAACTGACTGAGCAAAATAAGCATAATCTAGAAGGCAATACATACAGTGACTACAACAATGGAAAGCACAAAAGAAAAGTGACTGAATATTGTGTAATTTTAATGATCTGGCTTAGCCCCAGAAAAGAGTGAGAAAATGTACCCCTCTCTCTCTCTCTCTCCTATGAAAAGATGGGAAATTATGGCTATGGAGTATTACATATACCGTCAGATATGGTGAATATGTTGATTGGACTTTGCTGACGTACCTTTTTCCTCTTTTCAAAATCTGTTACAAAGACTGACTCACTGGGTAGGTTAGTGGGGAGGAATTTATTTACAAATTAAGGTGATTTAAAAAAGATGAAAAAAAGAATAAAAAGTGTTCTATAGTAAATTCAATTTTACTGCACAAGACTACATAGTATGACTCTAGAGTAGACCTGGATAGAAGATACAAATAGATTTCAAAATGACATAAGCTCACAGCTCTACCTAGTGGCCATTTCCACAAACTCTCTAGCTAATCCATAGAGATGTCTGGTTTTATTCCATTTGACTAACTGAAATGTGCTTAAGAAGGCATACTTTAAAAAAAAAAAAAGGACTTAAACAATAACAACAAATCTTACAGGAATGTTTCATGATGGGCATCCAGGCATTGAGCCAAAATTATTACCTAGCAACTAGGAACCCCTGAAACTCATCAATGCAATTCACTGATATTTACTATAATAAGGAACCCCAAACTCACCTCTCTTTATTGTGCTTAATAGCATCAGGCACAATTAAGTGGCCACACTCCCAATCCATATGACTGAAATTAATTTGAGTTTCCCATCAGTGACATTCAAGAAAGCTCTGGTTTACAGGGCTCCTACTCAACTAAGCTGCCTGTACCCTATGTCAAGAGTATAGGCTATACTATGCTAGGACATCTTGCAATTCCTGGTCTAGAAGGCATCTAGGAGATGTAGTATCTAGTTACAGTTCTGGGCCTGGAGTCAGGAAGACCTGAGTTCAAATATGACCTCAGATACTAGCTATATGACCTCAGATAAGTCACTTAACCTCCACTTCCTTTCCTCCTTCCCCCATGGTGGTTAATCAAGTGACTTGATCTGCTTCTAAACCAGTCAGTTCTTCATCTAAAATTCACAGACAGCATCTTTCCATATTGTAAAGTTTCAATGACTAAAATCAAATAGTTTTGTGGATGGCCTAAGAGAACACAATCACTAGACAATTTTGAAGGACTTGGAAGACTCTGATCAATGCAATGGTCAACTGCAATTATAGAGGACTAACTGAAGCATGCTACCCACCTCTTGACCGAGAAGTGATGGACTCAAATAATGGAATAAGGCATATATTTTCCAACTTGGCCAATGTGGCAATTTCTTGTTTCAATTATGCATTTTTGCTGAAAGGGTTTTGTTTAAAGGTGGGGGGTGGGGGGCTTGGCCTAATAGAAAAGACATGAGAAGACACCTCCCTCTACTCCTCTGTAGAAGCTAGGAGGCTCATGGGTATGGGGTGTTTCATATATTTTCAGATTTTAAAAAAAATTACTGATTTGTTTTGCCAACTGTTTTTTCTCTTTTTTCTTTTAAAAACTGTTTTTTTTTATATAGGATGGCTCTCTGGGAAAGAGGAGGGGAAAAAATGCAGGGGATTGATAAGGGCCTTTTTTTTAAGAGGAAGAGAATCCTTGTTAATTTTTCAAAAGTCAAGTAAAATAAAAGTTAAATTAAAAATATAATTACTGGACTAATATTTGAAAAATGGATATTCTGCTTTGGTTAGTTGTTGTTGTGTTTTCTCAAAGAGGACTATGACATCAGGGAGATGATGACATGACTTGCAACTGAGTTTGTTTTAAGTGACGGAGGGCTGTTCAAGGTCACCACCCTCACTTTCTCCTCCAGAGCCATCTGGGTCCAGTGGCCAGATATTCATCAAGACAACTGGAGATAACTCAGGATGCAGTGGGAGACCCTTTCAATACTAACACAGGAGTTTCTGCTCTTACCATGCAGGATACTGTGACCCCTTATGGCCAAAGATGCAAGAATCAAAGTAGGCTTCCCTAAAATCTACCAAGTTCACCCTCTTAAGAGGTAGAAAATGATAAATGTTGCAGAAGATGTGGGAAAATTGGAACACTAATGCATTGTTGGTGGAGTTGTGAATTCATCCAACCATTCTGGAGAGCAATTCGGAACTATGCCTAAAGGGCTGTAAAAATGTGCATACTCTTTGACCCAACAATAGCACTTCTAAGGCTGTATCCCAAAGAGATCATAAAAATGGGTAAAGGACCCCTACATGTACAAAGATATTTACAGCAGCTCTTTCTGTGGTGGCAAAGAACTGGAAATTGAGGGGATACCCATCAATTGGGGAATGGCTGAACAAGTTATGGTATACGAATATAAGGGAATACTACTGTACTATAAGAAATGATGAGCAGGCAGACTTCAAAAAAAATTGGAAAGACTTACATGAACTGATGCAGAGTGAAATGAACAGAATCAGGAGAACATCGTACACAGTTAACAGCCACATTATGGGATGACTGACTTTGATAGACTTGGCTCTTCACAGCAACACAAGAATCTAAGACAAACGACTCATGATGGAAATTGCTATCCACACCCAGAGAAGGAAATATAGAGTCTGAATGCAGATGCAAGTATACTATTTGCTCTCCTTTTCCTTTGTTGTTTTGTTTTATTGCTTCATTCTTGTGGTTCCTCCTTCTAATTGTTCTTTACATCATGACTAATGGGAAAATATGCTTAACATGAATGTATATGTAGAGCTTATATCAGATTGCATGCCATCTTGGGGAAGAAGGGGGAGAAAATTAAAAACTCAAAAGCTTATGGAAGTGATTGATAAAACTAAAAATAAATTAATTATAAAAAAAAAAGAGGTAGAAGGCAGAGACTATATCATTTTGTATAGACCAGATAATAGGAGCCTTTTTTTTTTTAAACTGCCAAACCTTATCCCCATGGAGAAACTGGACACACTGCCATCCATAGGTCAGCTGGTTCTGAAGGTGTCTTAGAGAGGGAGACCCCTCACATAACCTTCTTTTAAAAATTCACTTATCTTTATTCAGTTCTGTGGTTGCAGTGTTCTCAGATGTTCTAAGACAGCAATTTTAATCTAGATTAAAAATACTTCAGGATGGTCTAGGATAGAAAGGCAAAGAAACTAAAAAATAAAAAACAAAACATGGGATTTTCACTGAAGAAGACTTCAAACAACCTAAACCAGGTCAGTTTAATTTCATTTCAATTCCCAGACCAATGAAAAAAAGTCAGCTTTCATCCACATGAAACCCTTTGTTAAGATCCTGAGATCCAAAATATAGGCCCAAAGAATTATCAATAAATAAGCAACTATTAAGAACCAACCATGTGCCACTGACTCAGTATTTAAAAAAATGAAAACAGTGCCTGGCCTCAAGGAGCTCATAGTCTATCAGGAGTGATCACAGGCACACATATAAGTATATACAAAAAAAAAATTTCAAGATAAATTCAGAAAGGAGGTAGGAAATCAGGCCTCACATAGTGGCTAGCTTTTGATCTGAGTTTTCAAAGAAACTAGAAATACTAAGAGGCAGAGTTAAGGAACGAGTCCACAGGGATAGCTTCAACTATCCCCCTTTAGAAGGATCTAGCGGCAGCTAGGTGGCACAGTTGAGACAGCACTGGCCCTGGAGTCAGGAGGACCAGAGTTCAAATCTGGCCTCGGACACTTGACACTAGCTGTGCGACCCTGGGCAAGTCACTTAACTCCACTACCTAGCCCCCCCCCCAAAAAAAAATCTAGAATATACATTTCAGGCAGTCTGTGAACTTGCAGGGGGGAAAAAAATTTACCTTCCTTTTTACTAAATTCTAACTGAAATGTAGCATATTTTCACTTAAATGTAACACATTTTCTTCCATTGTTTTAAAACATGGCTCTGAAAAAAGTCCAAAAGCTTTATCAGATTGCCACAGGGATCCAGGATACAAAAAAGGTGAAGAAACCAGCCCCTAGTCTTGATCACCACCCATTCTCATTTCCTGACAGCCTGTTCTAACCCTCATTACACTTGAATGTCTGATCAGCATTGCTTCCTAAGGAAGAATTTATCCGTTTAAAAAAAATATGTTTTTTCTACTTCTCACTCCCAAGGAATAGTCAAAAAAGCAATAACTTATTTCCTCCAACTCACATCTCTTCTTCTGTGGAAGGCACAGCACTGACCCTAGAAAAAAGCAATTATAAAGTTTTGCTGGTTGTTCAGGGACAGATTTTCCAGGCTCCACTTTTGTATACTGGGATCATCCTACCACCTAAGATTAGCACTGTGCCTGGTACATAGTAGGCACCTTATAAATTGTTATCGAATGAAAGAATGTTGAATTATAGGAACACACAAATGGCTTTGGAGTTATTCAAGAGCTCTTAAGATTTAATCATTGGGAAAAGCATTCCAACTATTCAGGGTTTTGTTGATGGGCCAAAAGTTAGCCCCTAAAAAGGGTTTGGAAGTCCACTAATCTGTTGGGGGGTTTTTTAATTTAATTTTTTTCAAGTCAACGAAAATCACTTACTCTCACTTCCACTTTCTCCCTGCCCTTACAAAAAAGAAAAAGAAAGGAGATAATACCTGTACTCATCCCAACGGACTACTTCAAGAAAAGCTTCTCCTAAACTATGAAGCACTTGGTAAAGGTGACCCACAAACCAGAATGATTTGGGAAAAATTATAGCATTCCTTCCTCATCATTTGACAGGAAAGGAAAATCCAGTGACCTGATGTCACTTTTCCAGGTTCTACTACAAATTTACAGAAACAAAAGAGTTTTTGTTGCACTATATAGCCCAATCTTTCACAATCCTGACATTTCCAGCAATAGATGGGGTCAAGAAGTTAGATTTTTGTAAGGTTAGGAATAAGCAAACCTTAGCAAACCCAATTTAAAGCTTGAGAGCGTCACACCAGTCCTATCCAAGTTATGAGGCAGACTTTTAAAAACATAGCCAAAAAAACCCCCAAAAAACAAAAAAGTGTAACAGAATGAAAAAAACTGTTCTAACTGTGATGTAACATTACTGCACCCTAACGAATAACGTATATGAAAATGCAGAGGCATAGAAGGCTTTGCATGAACTGATGCTGAGCAGAAAAACACCCCAACAAACCCAGAACCAAGACAACAGACAGAACGATTATAATAACAGAAGTAAAAACAATATGAAAAAGCAGTTGAACTCAGATTAAAAAAAGATAACCTTGTTTCTGAAGGACAGATGCTGAAAACACTTGCTTCTTCTCAGTAGAGAGCTAAGACATGTCAAATGAAAAATGTTACCAATCTTGTCCTTTAGTACTGCCTAGTTGCTTTCCTTTATCACTAAGAAAAGGACAAAGGAGAATACATTGGGGAAGGACTGTGATCTAAAAAACCTAAGGCAACAAAACCACATTTTTTTAAATATAAAAAGCTAAGAGAGGCAGGTGGGCTCACCAGTAGAGTGTATCATTAACGACAATCTTTTAAGATGTCTTGTGGATCTATAGATGATGATGTAACCTCGGTTTCTCACTTGGCTATGGTGATACTGAATATAACGTTCAAGAAGCACATGGAGGACCCATAAAATCACTTTTCCAAGGATGACCACAGTCTGAACTTTAAGTGGGTTGATGTAGTTTCCTGGGCATTTGTCCTCATTTGGATTAGGATAAGAACAAAGCAAACCTGTTAAAAATGCTAAAACAACAAAAACAACCTAAAAGGGAAAAAAAAGTACCACGATTAGGTTTTAGGACTTTGAGGTTAAACACACAAGTCACTTTTACTGTCCTACATTCAATCATTGTTCTCAATTTTCAGAATGCAAGAACAGAAGATGACAGATTGAATTGAATTTTACTTTCCCATACCCATACGATTTTGGTCACAAGACTTATCAAATAAATGCAATATAATTCTAGGACTGAATGTAGCTTGCTTGCTATGCACTTAGAGGCCATGGCACTCTAAGTCATCTAGGTAGGAAAGCTTAATCCCAAACTGTGATAGTTAAAATAAAAATAACTTTATATTTTACACTATTTTGTATGGCTTCAAGTCAACAGTTTCCAAAGAACTGAAACTGAAAAAGACCAGGTTCAAATCTTGTCTCAGACACTAGCTGACCCTGGGCATGTAACACTCCATGACCATCAGTTTTTATATTTGTAAAAAAAAAAATTTCAAATTTGTGAAATCTGGACACTCAACCTCTAAGGCCCCTTCTAGCTCTAAATCAGTGAGCACCCAAAGGGCAATGGAGAGGGTGCACAGGGGCACGAATAAGCAGCAACACATTACAAATTATGTAGGGAAGGCGGTATAAAGGATACCGTAAGAAAAATGTCTGGGGACTGCTAAGTGGCAAAGTGGATAGAGCACCAGCCCTGGAGTCAGGAGGACCTGAGTTCAAATCCGGCCTCAGACACATAACACTAGTTGTGTCACTCTGAGCAAGTCTTTTAACCCTAACTGCCTCACCAAAGAAAAAAAATCTGGCAGAAAAAAAGGCAGGGGAGGGGTAGTATTGACAGACAGAGATGACCCACGTACCCTGCTCTATAAAGAGAATTCATCAAGGAAGACTCTCAGCATGTTGCATAAGCCTGCAGGAGTGAATCTGTGAGAGGATAACGGACTACAGTTACACAGGATGAGTTGAGTAAACAGGGAAATTCATCACTATGGAATGCCCACTCTGATGAGATTGAAGATGTGTTGGAATATTATTTAAGTGAAAACATTAGCTATTCAGATCTATAAAAACAATATCCGTAAGACATCTAGTTCCAATAATCAACAATTCTTAAGAAATAGTATAATACAGGAGGGCTTAAAACTTTAACTTTTTAAAATTAAGAGGTACATTAGGATCACAAATTTATAGATGGAAGGACCTTTAGAGGCCATCTAATCCAAACTCCTCATTTTACAGTTGAAGAAACTGAGGCTCATAGATATTAAATTCATTCTGAAAAGAAAAAAAAACATCCTAATTAAGAAGCAGAACAGTTTAAGAGAACTCCTGCATAGTTCAGAAACTCCCCAAGTGTGATTATGGTTGAGTAATTTAACCCCTCTGTGCTTGTTTCCAAATGGGTAAAAGAAGGAATTTGGACCACGTGATGTTCAAGGTCCTTCTCAATTCCATAATTCTATCACCCACATACCTGCTTATCTAGTAGCAACAATACTAATACTCTTACTACCTAGCCTCAGGTCCCCACCCCTGAATTTTAAAATAGTTTGACTAATTTAACTTTTGACTATTTATCAGTATAATTGGCTTCCTTTTATAATCCTTTGTATTTTATTTTAAAACCATGATTCTGAAAAAGGTTTCAGTCTTCACCAGACCATCAATGGGGTATCTGACACACACAAAAAAGTTTAAGAATCCCTAACCTAGACCATATGAGGTAATAAGCTTTTGAAAAATCAAAGTAACTAATCAACTCCTTTGAATACACTTAAAATAGCCAACAGGTCTGGTAGGTAACAGTTACTCTTCTGACCACTCTCACTGCAACAAGCACCATGGCAGAAGTTGGAGGAAGTACTATAATTTTTGGCTCCACTGTGGCAAGCATTTTCTAGCAGTGCTTTCATTCAGGCGCTATGGCCCAGGCAGATGTTGCTTACTGGGGACGGGCATTAGAATAACTGACAATGTAATAGTTAACTTTTAGGGGGCTATGTATGTATGTACATGTGTGTATACGTGAATGTGCATTTTGTTCCAGATTTGTGATTTCACTATTATAGAGAACGTCCGAACCTTTCAACCAATTCAGACTGGGGCCTGTTCTGAGCCTTCTATTCTTCACAAGTTAGGGTGCTCAGACTAGGATCAGTCAGTATGCATCAAAGGTGGCACTCAAACCAAGATCTCTAAAGTGGCTCTCTGTTCACTAGGCTATGTTTCTTTTTATAGTAACTGACTTTACAGCAGAAATAGCATACTTATTCTAATCTAGATTCTCCAGTGTTCACAAGCTGAAGCAAGAAAAGTTACAATTTTGTCTGTGACATACTCCTTGGTGAACCTAGCACTCTTTCTTCTGTCAAACCCCCAAAATTAAAAAAAAAGTCCCCACAGACTTACATGTATTAATAAGAGGAGATTTGCTATGATGACAGTAGGAAGGGCATGGAATCTAGGTCTGAAATGAATATGCAATGGATGTTGTGGCAGAAGCTGAGCTTCTAGAAGAGGGTCATCTTCTAAACTTTGTGTGAGATCCAATGAACCCTAAAGGGGGAGAAATCAAAAGTCAGTATATTCTTAGACAATATTCACAAAATCAGTTATATAACATAAAGTTTGAAAATTTGTTTTATACATTGAAAGGCCTTCCTCCATTCTAAGAATATTTTTTCTGAAAAAAACATTTAGTTTCAACTACTGGAAGCATACTAAGAAGCAGAAGGAATTGTCTCCTACCCTCAAAGGGCTTACCATCTAACTGGCAGTCTAGGAATAAACAAATGAAAAGCTCAGTAATGATAAGAATTCAGTAAAGAAGTATTGTGTTTTAACAGAGGACAAGCTATGGACTCAGGAAAATCTAGGTTCAAGTCTTACATCTAATATGTATTAGGCATATGACCATGGACAAGTTCTTTAACTTCTCGGGACACTAAGTAACTTTCTTTCTTTCTTTCTTTCTTTTTTGGTGAGGCAGTTGGGGCTAAGTGACTTGCCCAGGGTCACACAGCTAGTAAGTGTCATGTGTCTGAGGCCAAATTTGAACTCAGGTCCTCCTGACTCCAAAGCTGGAGCTCTATCCACTTTGCCACCTAGCTGCCCCATCCAGGCAACTTTCTAAGACTAAGTTACAGATGATACACTTATTTGCATCTGTGTAAGAAGATTCCACACCAGAAGCTCCCAGTGATAATGAAATCTAATCCCTGCAAAATGGGAGGGAGGAACAGAATTTGAAACTAAAAACTTATTTGAAAAAAATGTTAAAAATTGTTTTTACATGTAATTAGAGGGAATATTATTTTTAAAAATGTTAAATGACAAAGACAATTTTTTAAGTAAAACAGGCAAATTGTATTATCCCTCTGGGATTCAGTTTATGCATTTGCCAAAAAAAAAAAACTTTACCACTCTAAACAAGGAAGGGTAAGCTGGACAGAGAGTTAAATTCTACCTAATACTTATTAGTGTGGGCAAGTCACTTACAACCTCTGGTCCTCAATTTCCACATTTATAAAAGAGATAATGACTTTGAAAATACTTATCTCAAAGGGTTGTTGTGAGGCTCAAATGAGATAATGGATGTGAAAGGCTTCAGCTTAGAGTTCTATTATTGGCACACAGTAATCGTTTAATAAATGTTTGTTGATCATATACAGAGTGTCCCCAAATGTCTTACCACAGTTTTAAACTTTACTAGTTTTATTGTACTAAAACTTTGGGGTCACACCATACAATGCAACTCTGCCTCTGAGTTTTTAAGGCACCTGGCTGGAACTCTGCTAGGTAAGGTTCATACCTTTCCATTCTCCTCACTTCCCTCCCAACATTAGTTATTCCTTTTTTTTTTTAAAGTTTATTAATCTGCAGTTAAAAAAAACCATCATTTCCAGACAATGAGTACACAAAAATAGTATTAGCTAATATACACTGAGATTATGTTCATGTTTATTTTAATAAACTAAGGCATCATCTGGGACAAGAGGGTATTCATCTCACCCACCTACCACGGAGTAAACAACGAGTAAAATGTCTCTCTCCTCCTCATTTAGGAAGTGTGTGTGACCTATGGCCCTGGGCACAGTGAAGACAGGTAAGGGTGCAAAGATCAAGGTGGCATGTTGTCAGGCAATGAGTCATAACAACAAATGTGCCTCCCCCAAAGGCAGGCAGATTCTATATAAAGCACTCCCAGGTTACGCCCAGAAAATAGTATGGAAATGGAAAATAGTATTTGTGTTCCTTTTTCAGGTGTAATCAGTGTTCTGAAGAAAGGAAAGCCCAATCTAGCACAGAAGTAAGCCAGATGTGAACAGAACGGTGTAGGTACTTCCCCATGAAATGTCTGTGGTCTTTTCTAAGGGGAAGAGGGGAGGTGAGAAAGGATTTTGAAGAACAGAAAGAAGAGCAGGCAGTTTTACTTCTGTTATGCCTCTCGTCTCCCAGCCCTTTAGTTCACAAAACCAGAAGAAATAAAAGTCTGATCATCTATTGTGGCCTCTACAATTCATAGCAGATAACGGAGCCTAACTCTTCTTCCTGAAGGTTTTATATTCCCCCAAGAGCAACCTTAGAAGAATTTTAGTCCAGCTTCCTCATTTTACAGATGAGGAAACTGCAGCCTAGAGAGGCTAAGAAACTTGGCCAAAGAATACTATTGTGTTATGAAAAATGACAAGGGGAATGGTTTCATGAAAAACCTGGGGAGAATTATATGACATGAGGCAAAGTGAGCAGAACCAGGAGAACGTTGTATACAGTAACAGTAATGTTACGAAGATCAACTAGGAAAGATTTAGCTACTGTGATCAAAATTACGATTCATGACAGTTCCAAAGAACTCGTAATCAAAAATGCTATCCACTTCCAGAAAAAGAGAGCGTTGAGCGCAGATTGAAGCATATTGTTTTTTACTTTGTTCCCCCCCCAATATATGGCTAATAACGAAATGTTTTACATGACTTCACGTGTATAATAGGTATCGCGTTGCTTGTCTTCTCAATGGGCGAGTGAAGCATTGCTTATTCCTGCAAAATCAGGTGCACCACCGTTTCATTTTTAAAGCTATGCTTCCTGGCGCCGACAATGACAAGGCTTCACGTGGTTGCTGCGCTCAGTACAGCCTTGGCCCTCGCAAGAGCTGCAGAGCCGGGGCGGGGTCCCCGCCACTAGGGACTGCCCCTAGTCTAGTCCTCAAGCCTCAGCCCGGGCTCTGGGCTATCTGAACCGGCTTCTGAACCGGCTTCTGACCGAGCTGAGGCAGGCTGCACAACACGTAGGGCAGACGCGCAGTCACGTGAAAAAGCCGAGTTCCGGGACTAGAAGCAAAGCCGTTTCCGAGCAAAAGCTTGGAAGTGGGGGCCTGCCGCGCACCTGGGGCGGCACACTGGGACACCCCCGCGCACACGCGCCGGCACCTGGTCCTGCGGCCGCCCCGCGGCCGAAGCTCAGCCTCTCAGGGACAGCCAGCGTCCCATCCCCAGGGCGCAAGACCTGCTGGCGACCCCTTCCTGGGGCGCACAGCTGTTACAGGGGTCCCATTTCCAGGGTGCACAGCTCCTCCAGCGGTTCCCTTCCTAGGGCGCACAGCCCCTGCAGGTGTGTCCTCCCTAGGCGCATCGCATCCCCTTTCCCCCATCTCAGGGTGCAGTCCCTCCAACGGTCCCCTTCCCAAGGCGCACAGCCCCAGCGGGTGTGCCTCCCTCTGGGAAGTTCCTCTCCCCTGCGCCCCTTTCAGGGGTTCCCGCCTGGGGTGGGGGGGTGGGAAGGAAGGCAGCTTTGCCGCTCCAGGCCCCGCCCCGCAACGCCGGGAGCCCCCGGTCGCGCCCGCCCCACGCGCACTCACGTCCTCCAGCCTGGTCCCTGCAGCCATCTCCTGAGCTCCTGAGGCTGAAGCCCCCGCCGCCGGGGCGCTATCTCCACCTGCGCGTCTCCGCGGCTGCTCCGGGAAGGGAGGGGGAGGAGGAGGGGGAGGGGAGGAGAAAAAACCCTCCGTGCCCCGCCCGCCTTCCCGAGCAAGCTCACCCTGACTTTGGGCACGCCCACGTTTTCGCAGGCCCCGCCTCCGTGGGAGGCTTGCTGCTCCTCCTCCAAACCCCTCATTGGTGGAGCCCGAGAGGCTTCCCCCCGACGCTGCCGGCCCCCGGAGGGAGGGGGGGGACGTTCGCAGCCGAGCTGCTGCGGGTCTCCCTTCTCTCCTATCTTGACCCATTGCTTTGGCACCCTGCTTTCTCCTTTCTAAGGTCCTGGACCCCGAAAGGCTAAAGCATCGTAGGCTGCATTCCTAAGCCTTCGGTGGCCTGATGTCCAAGCCGTCGCACCTGTTATTTATGTGCCTTTCAGAGATGTTCTCTTTGGGCGTGATTTCCTGTGTCTCCAAGCCCTGGCTGTGTATGTACTGGCTAGGAGGGCTTGAGGATGCTAGACATAGAGCTGAGCTTCAGAGGACACCTCGTCTAACCCTCTCATTTTACAAATGGGGAAACCGAGGCCCAGGGAGGTTCAGCGAATTGACCAAGGTCGGCATAGGCAAGGAAGCATCAGACCTGGGATTTAAACCTAGCTTCTTTGATTCCAAATAGAAAGCTGTTTTCACTGCACCTGACAAGATCCAGCTGTATGATTTTTTTTTACCTAATTACATAATAACTCAGGGCCTCAGTGTTCTCATTGGTAAAATAAGGGGTTTAATCTGGAGATTAACCTGGGGTCCCATTAATATGTTAATATATTTTTAAATATTTTGGTAACTATTTCAATATAATGAAAATTTAAAAGCATTACAGTACTCTGAAAAGGGACATATAGGTTTCATCAGACAGGCAAGGGGTCCACGACACAAGAGTCCCAAAATGTCTTTTCTAGAAGACGAAGTGGGAGTATGTTTGGAGTCAAGAAACCTGAGTTCAAAAACTAGAACAAACTTGGACAAATTCTGAGCTGACTCTCTGAGCTTCACTTTTGTCACCTGTTAAAAAAAATTATAACACTTGCAATAACCATCCTGCTAATCTGAGTCTAATAATAAATAATGTTATAATCAAAATCATAAGACAATAGATTAGGAATTTGAAAGGACCTCAGAGGCCATCTGATTCGGTTATGGGGGAAACGTGAAGCATAGTAGATAAAATGCTGAATTTGAGAGTCAGGAAGAACTGAGTTCTAATCTTGCTTAGATACTACTCCCCATGTGACCTTGGAAAAGTCACGTAACATCTCTTAACCTCATCTTCCTTATCTGGAAAATGGGGGTGAGAATCGAATGAGATAATATATTTAAAGGCCTATATAAATGTTAGCTATTATTATTTTTACTAAACCATAAGGCACTTTATAAGTATGAGTTACTCCATCTCTAATAGTCTGTGATTCTGAAATGCAACTTTAAGAGGAAAAAAAAAGGGTAACGTCGCCATCATTATGGTCATTAGAACAGTTGTTGAGGATTACTTAAAGCCCAAACCCCTGCCAGGGGGACAGGATGCAGGTTACAGAAAAAAATAATTAATAACCTGAATGCAGGGCCAGTTCCAAGCAACCCAACAATAAGTTAATGATTTACGAAGTGCTTTTTGAGCAGCAGTCCTATTAATTCCTATGCAGGTATTATTATTATTTTCACTTTTTTAATGAGGATGAGTAGGAAAAAATGAACCCATAGTCACACAGATGGGAAACAGCCACTACAGCTACTATTTCTTTTTTATATATATAAATTTATTTATTTTAGTTTTCAACATTTACTTCCACAAGGTTTTGAATTCCATATTTTCACCCCATCTTGCCCCTCCCCCACCCCAAGAGGCATGCATTCTGAATACCCCTTCCCCTAGTCTGCCCTCCCTTCTATCTCCCCCACCTCTCTTATCCCCTTCCCCTTCTATTTTCTTGTAGGGTGGGATAGATTTCTGTACCTCATTTCCTGTATTTCTTATTTCCCAGTTGCATGTGGAAACATTTTTTTTTAAAACTTTGAGTTCCAAATTTTCTCCCTTCCCACCAAGCAAGTCAATACAGGCCATACATGTGCAGTTATGCAAAACACTTCCATAGTAGATATGTTGTGAAAAGCTAACTCTATTTCCCTTAATCCTATCCTGCCCCCCCATTTATTCTATTCTTTCTTTTGACCCTGTCCCTCCTCAGAAGTACTTCCTTCTGATTACCCCTTTCCCAATCTGCCCTTCTCTCTATCATCCCCCTGCTCTCTTGTCCTCTTCCTCCCCCATTTTCCTGCAGGGTAAGACAGATTTCCATACCCAATTGAGTGTGTATGTTATTCCCTCCTTAAGCCAAATCCTATGAGAATAAGATTCCCTCATTTCTTTTCACCTTCCCCGTTTCCCCTCCACTGTAAGAACCTTATTTGTCTGTTTTGTGCAAGATAATGTACCCCATTCTACCTCTCCCTTTCTCCTTCTAGAATAATCCCCTCTCACCCCTTAATTTTATTCTCCAGATATCACTCCTTCATCTTCAACTCACCCTGAGCCCTCTATCTATCTATCTCTCTCTCTCTCTCTCTATCTATCTATCTATCTATCTATCTATCTATCTATACATATAATTTTCCCCCTCCCACTACCCTAATACTAACAAAGGTCTCAGGAGTTATAAATATCATCTTTCCATGCAGGAATGTAAACAGTTCAGCCTTAATAAGTCTCTTATGTTTTCTCTCTCCTGTTTACCTCTTCATGCTCCACTTGAATCTTGTATTTGAAAGTCAAATTTTCCATTCAGCTCTGGTGTTTTCATCAAGAATGCTTGAAAGTCCTCTATTTCACTGAATGACCATTTTTTCCCCTGAAGGATTATATTCAGTTTTGCTGGGTAGGTGATTCTTGGTCAGCCACTATTCTTTCCTAGAGACCACTTTCTAACCTGGGTGGAGTATACATGATCACATTCATGGAATGAAGAAGGATTCACCAGTGCCATGAAGAATTTAAGCAGCTCTTTACAAGACTTCTTGGTTAAATCCCTCCTTCTTCTATGGAATGAAGAATGCTGAGGTTGGATTCAAGAAGACTTTGACTGGGTGAGTCTAAGTCCCTGCCAGAGAAGGTAAAGTGACTATTTATCTTTTGGGCAATTCAGCTTGTTAATAAGAAAGTTAGATGAGTTTTATAGATTATATGTGGTTTTCCCTTTCCCTATTTTTTGGGGATGATCTATGTTTCCCCAGGTCTGCTTTATTTGGATTCTCTAGTTATCCCCTGCTTTCTTGGGTATATAGAAAGATCCTTCATGTGACCCTGCTGCTTCTTTACAGCTACCATCGTGGCTCCAACTTCCCTTCCAAAAAACACTTCTCTGTCAAACAATTTTTTCCCCAAATGAACAAAAATCAATTGCTCTCTTCCCCATTGGGAAAAAAAAATTAAGATCATTACAACCATTTTGGAAAACAATTTGGAATTATGTAAATAAAGTGACTAAAATGTTCATGTCTTTTGAATCCAGAGATTATATACCAAGTAGGCCATTGATAAGTCCACATATGTACCAAAATATTTATAGCAGCACTTTTTAGAGAACAAAGTAATGGAATCAAAGTAGATGCCGTTGATTGGAGAATAACTAAATAAATTGTGGTACATGAATGTAATGGAATATATTATAAGAAACAACAAATGTGACACATACAGAGAATCATGGACAGATCTACATGGAGTCATGCAGAGTAAAGTAAGGAGAGCTAAGAAATGACTACAATGTAAATGGAAAGAACAACCACAAAAAAAGGTCAAAAAGTGAAAGCTGCAAAATTGGAATAAGTATGGCTCAAAAGAAGAGATATGAGAAGGTAGTCCCACCCACTTGTAAAAGGTCCACATGTTGTACATTGCACACATTTCAGACTTTTGGGGATGTATTAAAAGTTATGGTGATTTTTTTTCCTTTTTCTTTTTTCTTTTTTTTTTTGCTTTAAAAATATGATATAGAAAAAAGAAGAAAAAAGAAAAGAAAAAATATATAGGATGGCTTTCTGGAAGGGGCAGCAGGAGGGATAGTGGGGAAAATTATGATAATGTTAAAGATAAGATAATTAAAACTGATTAAAAAATAAAACCCTTGTAATAAATATATCTAGTCAAAGAAAACAAATTCCTACATTTGCCATATATAAAAAATGTGTATTTCATTTTGCATCCAGAGTCCATCACCTTTCCTTCAGGAGGTGAGTAGCATTCTTATTTACCAGTCCTTCAGAATTGTGGTTTGTTTTCTTGATCAGAGTTCTCATGCTTTTCAAAATTGCTCATCTTTATCATCCTCAAACAACCTGAGGCTCAGGCAAGTAGACTATACCAAATGCTTTCATAGTTTCAACACCCACTCAGACTTTGACACCCCTGCCAAAAGACTTCTGCTCCCAGACAACAGATCTGTCTGAGGTTGCCTGCCACTGGTCTCTTTCTAGTCAGATTCAAAGGTCTCGGTTTTCTTCCTTCCTGTTTTGAAACTTCCTTAATTGGTTATCTTCTGCTACCATTCCATCTTCAAGTTTGCCTATTTCTTCTTACTTCTCTAATTCTTCAGCAGTTGGGAGTATATTTCCAGTCATTACTGGTCAACTTTTGGCTGAAGGAATTGATGGAAATACTCTGAAGCATGAGGAAGCAGAATGCTGGTGTATATTACAGTCACTTTAAATAAGGAGCACTGAAAACTTTCTGTACAATGGAGCATGAAAGCAATCGGCAAGGCATTTTATATTCTACGATGGAAAGGCCATCTATTTTCAGATACATACTTCTTCCCAGAGGCTATATATATTCCCCATACTTCCTAGAAATAAACATAATGTAACATATAAATAAAACTTTAATGAATTATTTGGACAGAAGGAAGGTTCATTTAGTTTATTGAAAGCTTACCTCAGAAAATAACTGAAGAGCTCAGAAAGTGTAGTTTATTCACATTCACAGTAGGAAGATGAGAGGTTTCCTTCAATTTCCACTGCAAAATGAAAAGTGAATGGAAAATTTTTTAA